CTCTTTTATGGCCATAGAAATACCTGTTTGTTCCCCAATTCACTGTGGCCCTGCCATTTTTCTTTCTGTGCTTTTCTGACTGGTCCCGCCCGTGGTGCCATATATTTGGCTTCTGCTACTATCCCCTGAGAAGTTGCCCCCAAGCAGCATCCAAAATGGTATATCTGTTAGAGAAGGGACAGCCGCAGGAGATCACTGTACTACCTGACTGTTAAGTAAAGTGTTTGTCATTCATGTAAAAACTTAATGACATTCTTCCCTGCACACTAAGTACTTTCCCAGCATTCTCGTGTTGACGTACATTGGGTCTGGAAAGATGGTCACTAGAGTGTCAGCAACAATGGGTGATCACAAATTTCCAGTGCCCTTTACATTCTGCTCCAACCGCTGCCTTTAAAGTAAAAAGAAAGCAATTACATAAGTAAACGACTGCTTCATTATTGCTTGTCTGTTCTTCTAGGCAATAACCAAATCACCCCTCTTGGTGAGATCACTGTGACTGAAACATAGTGTGTCTTTTGCAGCCAGTAACCAATTCCTAACCGCTGTAGCTGGCTTTTGGTTCTGTATTACAGGACCAGTTTGAACATAGAACATTACAGCGCAGTACAGGCCCTTTGGCCCTCGATGTTGTGCCGACCTGTGAAACCAATCTGAAGCCCATCTAACCTAAACTATTCCATTATCATCCATATGTTTATCCAATGACCATTTAAATGCCCTTAAAGTTGGCAAGTCTACTATTTTTGCAGGCAGGGCATTCCACGCCCTTACTACTCTCTGAGTAAAGAACCTACCTCTGACATCTGTCCTATATCTATCACCCCTCAATTTAAAGCTATGTCCCCTCGTGCTAGCCATCACCATCCGAGGAAAAAGGCTCCCACTGTCCACCCTATCTAATCCTCTGATCATCTTGTATGTCTCTATCAAGTCACTTCTTAACCTTCTTCTCTCTAATGAAAACAGCCTCAAAACCCTCAGCCTTTCCTCATAAGACCTTCCCTCCATACCAGGCAACATCCTGGTAAATCTCCTCTGCACCCTTTCCAATGCTTCCACATCCTTCCTATAATGCGGTGACCAGAACTGTACGCAATACTCCAAGTGCGGCCGCACCAGAGTTTTGTACAGCTGCAACATTGCCTCATGGCTCCGAAACTCAATCCCTCTACCAATAAAACCTAACATACTGTACGCCTTCTTAACAACGCTATCAACCTGGGTGGCAACTTTCAGTGATCTATGCACATGGACACCGAGATCTTTCTGCTCATCCACACTACCAAGAATCTTACCATTAGCTCAGTACTCTGTATTCCTGTTACTCCTTCCAAAGTGAATCACCTCACACTTTTCCGCATTTAGCTCCATTTGCCACCTCTCAGCCCAGCTCTGCAGCTTATCTATGTCCCTCTGTAACCTGCAACATCCTTCCGCACTATCCACAACTCCACCGACTTTGGTGTCATCCGCAAATTTACTAACCCATCCTTCTACGCCCTCATCCAGGTCATTTATAAAAATGACAAACAGCAGTGGCCCCAAAACAGATCCTTGAGGTACACCACTAGTAACTGAACTCCAGGATGAACATTTCCCATCAACCACCACCCTCTGTCTTCTTACAGCTAGCCAATTTCTGATCCAAACCACTAAATCACCCTCAATCCCATGCCTCCGTATTTTCTGCAATAGCCTACCATGGGGAACCTTTTCAAACGCTTTACTGAAATCCAAATACACCACATCAACCGCTTTACCTTCATCCACCTGTTTGGTCACCTTCTCAAAGAACTCAATAAGGTTTGTGAGGCACGACCTACCCTTCACAAAACCGTGTTGACTATCCCTAATCAAATTATTCCTTTCTAGATGATTATAAATCCTATCTCTTATAATCCTTTCCAACACTTTACCCACAACCGAAGTAAGGCTCACTGGTCTATAATTACCAGGGTTGTCTCTACACCCCTTCTTGAACAAGGGGATAACATTTGCTAGTCTCCAGTCTTCTGGCACTATTCCTGAAGACAATGACGACATAAAGATCAAAGCCAAAGGCTCTGCAATCTCCTCCCTAGCTTCCCAGAGAATCCTAGGATAAATCCCATCCGGCCCAGGGGACTTATCTATTTTCACACCTTCCAGAATTGCTAACACCTCCTCCTTATGAACCTCAATCCCGTCTAGTCTAATAGACTGTATCTCAGTATTCTCCTCGACTACATTGTCTTTTTCCTGTGTGAATACTGACGAAAAATATTCATTTAGCACCTCTCCTATCTCTTCGGACTCCACGCACAACTTTCCACTACTGTCCTTGATTGGCCCTAATCTTACTCTAGTCATTCTTTTATTCCTGACATACCTATAGAAAGCTTTAAGGTTTTCCTTGATCCTACCTGCTAAAGACTTCTCATGTCCCCTCCTGGCTCTTCTTAGCTCTCTCTTTAGGTCCTTCCTGGCTAACTTGTAACTCTCAAGCGCCCTCACTGAGCCTTCACGCCTCATCTCTACATAAGCGTCCTTCTTCCTCTTGACAAGAGATTCAACTTCTTTAGTAAACCACGGTTCCCTCGCTCGACCACTTCCTCCCTGCCTGACAGGTACATACTTCTCAAGGACACGCAGTAGCTGTTCCTTGAACAAGCTCCACATTTCAATTGTGCCCAGCCCCTGCAGTTTCCTTCTCCATCCTATGCATCCTAAATCTTGCCTAATCGCCTCATAATTGCCTTTCCCCCAGCTATAACTCTTGCCCTGCGGTATATACCTATCCCTTTCCATCGCTAAAGTATACCTATCCCTTTCCATCGCTAAAGTTTGATGCCCCTCTTTTACTCCACATTGCCCATCATGTCCAGAATGCCGCCATGCACTTCCTGCTCAGTGTAAATTCCTGCTCACCTATCACTTTGATTTTAACTGCCCAGCGTTGACTCCCAGACTCACAACCAAAAATCCACTACTTCACCTCTGAATTTCACCATGATTTTTAACCCATCTTATTCTCTACAAATTTTCAAATCCCCTTTTACCTTCCCAAACTCTGCAAACTTCTGATTCTGGTCTTTTGTGCTTCCACCGCTCCCTACAGTCCATCAGTGGAGTCTTGTTCTTTTGTGGTCCTGGATCCTACTTCATAGCTCTGTCTCCCTAATCCACTTTCAATCCCTAATCTGCGGTGGTACGGTGGCTCAGTGTTTAGCACAGCTGCCTCATAACGCCAGCGACCTGTGTTCAATTCCAGCTTCGGGTGAATGTGTGGAGTTTGCACATTCTTCCCCCATGTCTGCGTGGGTTTCCTCCGGGTGCTCCTGTTTCCTCCCACAGTCCAAAGATGTGCGGTTTAGGTGGATTGGCCATGGGGAATGCAGAGTTACAGGTATAGTGTAGGGAGTTGGGTCTGGGTGGGATACTCTTCAGAGGGTTGGCGTGGACTCAATGTGCCGAATGGCCTGCTTCCACAGTGTAGGGATTCTATGATTCACTCCCCATCCATTTCCACACTCCTCTGAACATCACCTCAAAATCCATCTCTTGCACCAAGCTTTAGATAACTTTCTAATCCCTACCCCTCTGACTCCTCATCCCTTTCTTTGTTTGTGATTGTAACTCATGATCTTTTTGCACTAAGGACTCATTGGAAATGGGATGGCTTTGTTCTTCAAGAATCAAAAATGCAATTTCTCTACATTTCAGATTCCATTTTCAGAGCCGTTATAGCAACATATAGACATCCTAATCTGCCAAAATGTGAACTACAAGGCTCCAGATACAAAACAGTATCATTCCCCTTTTGGAATCATCCAAGTCTTTGTCATGTGCCTGGGTTGGTCTCGAGAGGAGTATCAGAACACGAGCAGGTGGAGGCCATTCAGCCTGCTCTGTCATTCTGGGTCATGGCTGATCTTGCACCACAGCACTGGTTTCTTGCACAGTCCCTTTACCCTTTGACACCTTTACTGTCAGAATGAATGTGATACCTAGAAAGGGGATGGAGTTGGAGGGGGATTGCCTATTGGATCATGAACAGAAATAGCACACTAGGAAAGACCAAATGCAGATAGTACAGGATGCCATTTGTTAGTGATGCTTCAGACTCAACAAACGGAGCAAGATGGACTTGCATTTGTATAGCAGCTTTCATGACTTCAGGACATCCCACATTTCTTGTCGCCACAGGAAGTACCTTTTGAAATTTAGGGACTACTGTAATGTAGGAAACAATTGTGCACATTGAGATCCCACTGTGAGCAATGATGTGATGATCTGTTTTTGTGATTGTAACGTTGTAGAGTCATAGAATCCCTGTGGTGTGGAAGCCGTCCATTCGGCCCATTGAGTCCATACTGACCCTCTGAAGAGCATCCCACCCAGACCCACTGCCTTACCCTATCCCTATAACCCTGCATTTCCCCATAGCTAACCCACCTCACCTTCACTCCCTGGGGACTCTGGACAATTTAGCGTGGCCAATCCACCTAACCTGCACATCTTTAGACTGAGATGCTACTTTTTTCGAACAGCATCCCCACTGGTCTCCTTCAAAATAGTGCCATTTACATTGTCCTGAGAAGGTAGTTGAGCTTTCAGTTTCACATCTCATCAGAAAGGCAGAGTCTCCGGTCATGCACCATTCCCTCAACACTGCACTGAAATGTAAGCTCTGATTTTTATTTTTGTGTGTGCTCTTTTTCTGGTCCTTGAAGCCATGATGTCTGATGCACAACTAAGACTTGCCTGATATCAAATGACGGAAAGGATCTACTTTGCAAAAGGCCTGAATTGTCCTGATTCTGATGAGATGTTGCGGGAGCAGTCAAGGACACAGCAGTGTTTCAATTTCTTTAGTGCCCTCTCTCACACAATATTGCCTGTTCCTCTGGTGTGGGTAGCCTGCTTTTAGAAGGGACTCTCTTAAAAGGGAAGGTGGAATATAGTGTGTGTATCCACTTGCAGACTTACCTCTGTCTCTTTCCTGTGCTGCTCCTCAGGGCGACACGCCGAAAAACAAAGCAGAGAAGGCCATGGACCTGGAGCTGGCCGCATACCTGGAGAACCGGCAGCATTACCAGATGATTCAGCGAGAGGATCAGGAGACAGCTGTGTAGCGCTGACGAGGAGCTGATGGCAAATCTCCACCCCCACCCTCTTCACCCACTCCCCAAAGACTGCATGCCCGCTGCCATTTGTGACAACATGGCTCGGTGGTGTTTCCACCATCGGTCAGCCTCTTTGTGTGTGTGTGTGCGCGTGAGCGTGTGGATGTGTGTATGTTTGTGTGCGTGTGTGTGTGTTTTGTTTTTTTATTCTCCCCTCTTGGCTAAACCCACACCCTGGAACAAACAGGTGCCAAAACCAAAACTGGCAACATGGCAGTCACTGGGTACCAAACAACGGTTTGATCCTAACAATGGTAACAGTCTGCCAGGTTGTTCCTCACCAATGCGATGGGTGGACAGGCAAAGTTGATGGCTTCTCATGAAGTTAGCTACTTGTGGTGATGCATTGGCACTCGTAACTTTATGCTGTTTAAATTGCACGTTACGTGGTTGCACTATGTAGCCTCTATTTCTGTATCTGGGATATGCCCAGTGCTGTTTTTGCTGCTGAGACAGTAGCAACTCGAGAAGTAATATAAAAAAGATCCAAGGTGAATGCTCACTACTTTGTAGAGGGCAAGTGTACTATAGTGCAAACTGAAAATATTAATATGGATCTGACGTCTCTATTTTACAGCTGTATTTTTAAGAGAAAACTGCGTGGAAAAGCATACTTTTTTGTGCACATTGGAACTTTTAATTGTGAGGATGCTGTTTAATGTTAATTTGAATGATGTCTGCTGCAAACTCACTGGAGTCTAAAAGGCAGTGTGATCAGGCTTTCGTAATGTTTACAGTGCAGTGTGAGAGGGGAGGGGAATAGGGTAGTTACAGCAAACATCCATTCTTAATCACCAGGCGTTAATAATGTCCAACGAGATGGATAAGATTGAGAAGTAGAACGGAGAGCAATTTGGCAGATGTAGGCTAACATCTGGTATCTAGGACCTCACCTCCCACTGAAGAATTGGCTTACTTGTGAGAGATGGGGTCAGCTAAATCCATCCTCCTTTTACAGACATTTACAAAGTACCTTATTAACATGCTTTGTGTTTCTTTTTAAATGAATCCAAGTTGTTACTTTTATTTGGGCATTCAGGAGAAAGAGTGTGAATCTCAAAAACCGCGGGTCAAATTTTCCAGACACCTGCAACCTTCATACTGGGCCATTGTAGTGAGAAAGCTGTCCAATTCAGTCAAGTTTCTACAGAGAGGTTTTAAGAGGGCACCCCTATGTTTAATCCCAGTTAATGAGTGAAAATATGAACATATGATTTACAACGCTTCCCAGGCTGGTGTTTGATGATGTCTAACAGATGGATTTGTTGAGAGTTGCTCTTGGCTTCCCCAATAGATCAGTTGGTTGAAATACATCGACCTGTGTGATCCTGAGTCCCACAGACCGGGCATGCCCCAGATTCTACTCTTAGTCTGTGCTGATATCTCATCAAATCTGACACAGTGGGTCTAAGATCCCTAAGCCAACAGGTGGGTGTTGTGGAGCTTAGCCTTAAAAAGTCTTTCATTTCCTGACCACTGCAAGAATTGTAATCAATGCCCCTTCCCTAGCAACCATATACAACCTAACTTGGACATTATAGGTAGTGCGCAAACAACTTGGCCAAGCAAATGGAATGTTTGGAATGTTTTATTATAGATTCCCCTATTACTGCACCCGCCTATGTGCATTGTGGCTAATTTAAAGTGTATTTTTTCATTCTGCTGTACCTCATCCAAATGGAGCATTTTTTTTCAAAAACATTGAAAATTTTAAAGTATAATTTAATCAGCTCCCAAGGGCACTAATCCATCAGAAAGGAATCATAGCACTTGAGCTAAATAGTTTGATGGTAATCATCTTAAAATATTAAAACCCTTCTCCTTGTGTTTTCCCTTGCTATGAAAAGCCAATTTTGTGTCTTGCAATCTTCACAAGACTTTCCTGTGACACAAAAGTTACAAATAATCAAAACATGTACTTCTTGAAGTTTCCAAATGGTGATTCCGCAACATTGGAGATCCCTAATCCCACCTTAACTTTCCTATCCTGCCTTCGGATTTTCTCATAAGCCGTCTCTGAGAAGCTTTTGAACATTCTTCCTTCTCTTTAGATTGAAATGTTTCTGATTTTTCTCACCTTGAAAGATTCCTTTATGTCGAAGCCTATCTATAAATGCAGGTGGCTGTTACTGTTGAAAAGACGTAACTCTGGTGAATGACTGGTAGCGAGTAACTACCCTGCCATCAGTCACAGGTAGACACCTTTAGATTATGCAGGTCCCAAGCCATGAAACCCATCAGTCTCAATTTCAAAAAGGTTTCCATAGCAAAAATCTAGCATAGTGTGAGCGATCAGGAAAAGAAGTGTCTGATTTATATAGAAGGGCGCTCAGCCTATCACACTGGTACACCCAATTTTCCTTTCAAAATATCCAACTAGTTGTATATTTAGCTCTGGTGATTCTAGTAATTGGTTTAGAATAATATATATCATATGACTTGACATCAACTGAACACCAAGATAGTACCACTATAGGGATAAAGGACGTTTTCATTGCATCATATGATGAAGGGAAAGGAGCCCTGACTTTGTGGAGATAATTTAGTGGGGATGAAAAAATGACATGGGGATATACAATAGACAGCAGAATCTGTATCAACAGTTTTACACCATTGCCAAAAGACCAACTCACCCGCATGTCGATACTCAAAATGAATGGATTTAATAAGAAAAAAACAAAGGTTTACAGACTCTCTGTCTCTGATCTTACCTGGAAAACTAACACACTGCCAGGAGGAAGGGAAGGATTGAATCCTCTGCCACACTGTCCTTAAAGCTGTCATCCAGGACTGCAGACAAGACAGAGAAAGTGACGCTCCACACGAGTGGAGTGGAGACAGGCTGCTCCATTCTCTGCTATCAGCTGTGTAAATAGGTTCCTTTGAACAAAACAAAAGAAGTCTGTCTGGTTGTAAATTTTCCAAGATCGTACAGTTATTGTAATATTCCCATGAGAGTCTCTTGATGTGTATCTGTGACTTTTTTTGTGTGTATAATTACTTAAATTTGGGCCCGTCTTTTGTAGATTGGTATATCTTCAACGATTGGCGGTTGTTTTTATATTTGCAGTTTGTGTGCGTGTATGTTTCTGAAACAGATGCCTTGATTTGCCTTGTGTCAAATGAGTTGATGCAACCGTGTTGTTCCTACTTGAAACTGTGAACCAAGTCCCAGCGTGTTCCTCACTGGGCTCATTGTGAAGCTTTCCAGTCAGTGGACCATGTAGCACAGTATGTTCTTAGCACCAGAGTAGATATCACAGGTGAAGGAATTGATTCAGACAAATTAGTCGTCATGCTTTCCATTATCTTCTTCCCCCCAAACCCCACCAATACAAAATGGACTGGCAGCGGGAAGGCAGGAGAAATGTTACAGGTGGAGTCCGCTGCTGGTTCCTGAAGAACTGCTCCCAGTTTGATAACTGTAACTTGCTAATTACACTGGATGATATTGTCGGATGAACGGTTGACACATTTTTATTAAATACCCCAGTATCCTGCCTCAATGCAGACAGCAATCCAATGCAAAATGAAAGCTGACAAAGGAATTAGATGCAAATACGTCACACCATGGCTCATACTCATAAAGAAGAGAATCCAAGTAGTATGGAGACAGTAGGACTGCAGACGCTGGAAGCCAGAGTCAATAATGTGGAGCTGTAAGAACACAGCAGGTCAGACAGCATCCGAGGAGCAGGGAAGTCAACGTTTCAGCGAAACCCTTCGTCAGGACTCCCAGTTTGGTCTATGTATTTTCTTTTGTTGATTTAGTAATGTGTTTTAGCCCTATTTAAACATCTTTGATTCTCAAACTCAAACATGCTAGGAAATGATTGATACTTCTGCTGAAGACAGTAGGGGAGGGACAAGGAGTAAAAGATTGGTGGAGATGGAGCCCAAAGAGTGAGAACAGCAGTTGGTCAGACAAAGCAATGAATAATGGTTAGCCAGGGAGAAATAAAAGCTGCTAATGAGGACCATTGGTCGGTGAAAATGGGTCGGCTGGGATGTTGGATAAGGGCATAGGAGAAGGTGCTCAGGCCCTAAAATTATTGAACTTGATATTGAGTCCTGAAGGCTGCATGGTCCCCAAGTGGAAAATGAGGTGCTGTTGTTCTGGCTTATGCTGAGCTTCACTGTAGCACCGCAGTGAGACTGAGATGTTGGCCAGTGTCCACCATGTTCCCATCTATGCCATGGGTTTATTTTTTTTTTTTGCAATTATCCTATGGGAAGTTTCCTATACAATCACATTTATAATGATTGGAAATGAGTGCATCTTCTTTCCTGAGATGCTAGTAAAGGGGAGGGAGGTGATATACAAGTTAGAACAGCTTGGAAAAGGGGATTCACTAAAGACACTGGGAGTTGGAGGTTAGAATAGAGCTGTATGTTAGGTGTTACCTCTGGGATCAATCAGATTTAGCCTATACTGATAAGACACAACGTTCTTCCACTATATTCCAGAGTAAGTGAGTAGAACAAGTTTAATCATTCTGCCCTAATTAGGAATGTTATTTAAGAGAGACCCTGGGGGTTTGTTATCGGAGCTGGGTGGAGGGTGGAACCTCACTTTAGCAGCGGAAGGACCAAGAATTCTTCAGTGGAACTGAAGCACATTTTGGGGGAAATTGCAAGCAAATTTAAGACCATATGATGTAGGTGCAGATGTAGGCCATTCAACACATCAAGGCTGCCCCACCATTTAACCTCCTCATGGCTGATCTAAACATTCTCCTACGCATTAAAAATCTATCTATCTCAACTTTGAATATGAAACATAATGCCCAACTAAAAATTTGAACCCTCAGATTAAGAATCTGAAGTTCTACCAACTGGGCTGATCTGGATTCGAACCTGCAACCTCTCACTTATCATTGTACAATACATCCCAAAGTGAGGACCATATCTCTAAACCAACTTTTTTGCGTTCAGTGTCTCTATAACTGATGTGGGGAGTGATGACTCTCAGTGCTCCATTCTCCAGCATTACCATCTTTTGCTTTGATGAGTGCAAAGTTCGCAGCAACTGAAAATGCACCTGAAAGAGAGAGCAGTTTTGATGCCATCCCCAGTCATTGTCTCACTCAGCTGTGATAACGCTAGTCTCACTCTCCCTATTGGCACTGAAGCATAGTTTTAACTTTTGGTCTGTGTTGGTCACAGGGTGCCTGCACTTGGGAGAGGAACGCTCAGCAAGATGTCCCGCTCTTTCTCACTAACCAATGAGCTCTATATGTGTGGGTGCATGTGAGGATTTGAATTGAGCTTGTTTGTGTCACACTGACTCATAAATAGTGGACACTCAAGTGATCTTTCATCACTCCCCATCCAACAGGGCAAAAACATTGTGGAAATAGTGGAAGAGTTGTCACTTCCTTGTCATCTCCCATCCTCCAGATCGCGAAAGAAAACATCGAGTGACCTTAGAAGTGCCTCTGTATACTGATGGGATGGTTTATATCAGAATGAAGTCCTTTTGACAGGAAGCTGTTATTCATGACATGATAAAAGATGTGAGGAAAGGCTGTGTATTGCTGACTTAGTGAGCAACAAGTCGGGACTTTGTATAAACATCCATTTACTGGGTTGCATATAAATGGATTCGATTGTATTTGCATCAGACTGGACCAATAAAAAGATGCATAAATGACTGAACCAATTAATTATTGACTTATAACTATTTTCTGGCAGTTCACACTGACCAAGTTTTTCTGCCAAGATTGATGGCCACTTTTAATGCTTTTCGTTTCCTTTTTTGATTGCGCCCAACACCACAAACACAGGCCTACTCCTAGGAGTCTGTCAACAGGGAAAGCTACCAGAACTGAGTCAAATGTAAGTTATTTCCAACCAACATTGTACATCTGGAACTGTGTTCTGAGTGAGATACCAGAAAATACATTCGCTGGGTAGACGGGAGCTATGAACCTGCACTCCAAGGTCTGTTTTGTTCAGCAGCACTCCCCAGGACCCTACCATTAAGTGTATAAGTCCTGCCCTGATTTGCGTTTCCAAAATGCAGCGCCTCCCATTTATCTAAATTGAATTTCATCTGCCACTCCTCAGCCCATTGGCCCATCTGATCAAGAAGTGACCTTATTTGCTGTCCACTACACCTCCAATTTTATTGTCGTCTGCAAACTTACTAACCTCCTATGTTCACATCCAAATCATTTATACAAATGACGAAAAGCAGTGGACCCAGCACCGATCCTTGTGGCACACCGCTGGTCACAGGCCTCCAGTCTGAAAAACAACCCTCCACCATCATCCTCTGTCTTCTACCTTTGAGCCAGTTCTGTATCTGAATAGCTAGTTCTCCCTGTATTCTGTGTGATCTAACCTTGCTAACCAGTCTACCATGCAGAACCTTGTCGAATGCCTTACTGAAGTCTGTATAGATCACATCCACTGCTCTGCCCTCATCATTCTTCTTTATTACTTCAAAAAACTCAATCAGTTTCATGAGACATAATTTCCCACGCACAAAGCCATGTTGACTATCCCTAATCAGTCCTTGCCTTTCCAAAAACATGTAAATCCTATCACTCAGGATTCCCTCCAACTAAGTGCCCACCACCGATGTCAGTTGAAGAAATTTATCCTGATTTCACTGTTGGATTAATTGCTGACTTATATGACCAAGTGAGGTTTGAAGTGTAGTTATGGTGCCTTTTTGTTTAAACACCAGAGGGAGCACAAATTAGACTGTAATTGAATGCAGACTCCCTCCCCCATTCACCTAAATCTAAAAGAAAAATCTAAACCCTGTCACTGAGAGTGAGATACATGATTGGGTGTGGTTAATGGACGGTGGCCAATGTTGTTGGCCCAATCAGAAGACTGTGCTGAAGGCTCCGTAAGCCAATAGGGACATCCGAATGGGGGGCCAACTCCTTCAGAAACCTATTCGTTGATCAGGCTGTTGAGTTTCATCACTGCAGCTCCAGCACTGGGGCACATGCCTCTGAGAGGATGTTGCATTTGAACCAGTGCCCTTCACTCAGTGAACAAACACTGAAATACAGGTGCTAGGTTAAAATGTAACTTAAATGTGATCTTAATTTGAATAATTGGTTGCCTATCTCCTTGGAATCAGTTAGCTATCCCAGTTCCAAGATAATACTTGGGAAATCTCCTTTGGAAATGGGACATCTTCAGGGAGCCATCCTGACATAGCTCCCTGCTATTTTCCCAGTGTTTCTGCTTCTAAGCCCATCTCCCCAGATCTGGAAAAGATCAGGATTAGGTCTGCTCTGAAACAAGTCATACATCAATGTCAAACCTGAAGATGAGTGAAAGTTGTTGTATATGCGATTATATTACTGAGCCAGAATGCAACAGTCTGAATTAATATTCCAGAGATGTAAATTCAAATCCCAAAACCTTTTTATATGACACTTATTCAATGCTTTCTGAAAATCCAAATACACTACATCTACCACGTCAGCTCTGCATTGTTACGTCCTCAAAGAGCGTGAGCAAATTTGTCAAAAATGAACTCCTTTTTGCAAAACCATGTGAACTTGTTTGATTGCATTCAGCTTTTCTAAATGTCCTGTTGTTTCTTCCTTAATAATAGATCAATTTCCCTAGGACTGATGTTAGACTAACTGACCAATCATTTCCTGCTTTCTATTTCCCTCCTTGAACATGGGTGTATCATTAGCAGCTTTCCAAGCATCTGGAAATCCGGTGATTTCTGGAATATTTCAACCAATAACTTTGCTATCTCAGCAGTCTTGGATCCTTTGAAACCCTTGGATGCAGGTCATCAGGACTTAGCAACTTGTCTGCCTTTAGTCCCATTAGTTTGTCACTTGTGATACAGACTGTTAGAAGATATTTCCTCTCTTTAACACCTTGCTGATCTGTTATCTTTCGGGATGTTTGCAATATCCATCACTGTGAAGACCAATACAAAATATTGGTTTAAATTATCCACCATTTCCCTGTTCTCCAAACTTACATCCTCCATAGAACTGTACAGCACAGGAACGGGCCCTTCAGCCCACAATGTTGTGCTGAACATGACACCAAATTAAATTAATCCCTTCTGCCTTGTTCCATGTCCCTCCATTCCCTACATATTCATGTGCTTATCTACAAGTCTCTTAAGTGCCCCTGTTGTATCTGCCTCCACCACCACCTTGGCAGTGTGTTCCACACTCCTATGACTCTATGTAAAAAAAACTTGCCCCCACTTCTCCTTTGAACTTTGCCCCCTCATCTTAAATGTATCTCCCCTAGGTTTAGACATTTCAACTCTGTTAAAAAAAGATTCTGACCGTCAATCCTATCTATGCCTCTCATAATTTTATTGACTTCTATCAAGTCTCCTCTCAGCCTCTGATGCTCCATAGAAACCAATTTGAGTTTTTCTAGCCTCTCCTTATAGTTAATACCCTCTATTCCAGGCAGCATCGTGGTAAACCTCTTCTGCACCCTCTCTAAAGCCTCCACAGCCTTCCTGTAATGTGGCAACCAGAATTGAATGCAATACTCTGAGTGTGGCTTAACCAAAGTCTTATAAAGGTGCAACATGACATCCTAACCTTTGTAATCAATTCCCTGACCAATAAAGGCAAGCATGCCATATGCTGCCTTCAACACCCTTTCTATTTGCATCAGAGATAGTAGGAACTGCAGATGCTGGAGAATCCGAGACAACAAGGTGCAGGGCTGGATGAACACAGCAGGCCAAGCAGAAGGGTCTAGGCCCGAAACGTCAGCCTCTCTGCTCCTATGATGCTGCTTGGCCTGCTGTGTTCATCCAGCCCTGCACCTTGTTGTCTCTTTCTACTTGCATGGCCACTTTCAGGGAGCTATGGATCCCTCTGTAAATCGTGTTGTTGAGGAGCCTGCCATTTCCCTTAACATTTGATCTCCCAAAGTGCTGCACCTCATACTTGCACAAATCAAACTCCATCTGCCATTTCTCCATGGTTCAAGAAGGCACTACCTTCTCAAGTGCACCTTGGGACACGCAATAATTACTGGCCAGCAAGTGACGTCCATGTCCCATGAGCGAATTAAAGCATTGCTTCATCATAACTCTGTACCTCTGGTCTCAATTCTTTTTAATGTTTCAATCTTTCTTGCAATTGAACACTCGCTAATTATTTTAAAGCTTTATAAGCAACTTTGGTTATACTATTCAGTTGGACACTAGTCCCAGCATGGTTCAATAGCTGTCTCTTTCTCCTGCCCTGCTGCCTGTGCCCCATGAATTGGAACCCATTTCTTTCACAACATTTGAGCCAGGAGTTTACCTGTCTAATCTTATTTACCCTATTCCAATTTGCATATGTCTTAGATAGCAATCCTGAGATTATCTTTGTGGTTTTGCTCTGTAATCTAGGCCTGAGCAGTTTATAAACTGTTAGCAGAATCTGTTTCCCCAATCTAGTTGCATCATCAATACCATGGCAATTAGATTGTTCTCTTCCTACTCCAAATTCCTCTCCAGCCCTCTCTTTGGCACCAGATAGACAACATGGCCGTAGCTGCAGAGAACAGTATTTATTCTTCTTACTATTCGATTTGCTGTTACTACTACAAACACCAACTCACTAGAACGGTGCTCAGTTCCACTGTGATTTGGTCAGTTTTTGTCATTCTCCCTGTGGTCTGAGACCTCAACTACACCAGGAGCAAGAGCCTTTTTGCAATTGGATGAAGGGAACTGTCTTCACTAAAGCTAAATTCTGGATCACTCAGACATTTAAAAGTGAATTTCCCAACTGTACTCTACAGTTGTAGTAAATCAAATCACTTCAGAGATATGGAGCAATTACCGACAAATCACTCAGCTGTTTTCCTGAGGCCCTACGCTTTCACTCTGACAGATAGAAGGAGGTCGAAGGGACTGCGATGCAGGTTTTATCAGCCACCACTGCCATCTCCCGGAGGTCTGCTCTACGGGTCTGTTTCACACTGATACTGACTCACTGCATGCACCTCCCGGCCTGTTTTATAGTGACACTGACTCACTACACACTCCTC